AGTTAGGAAGAGTTGAGTGGCTGCCTGGGAGTTATATATTAAAATCCACATATTTCAGTCATAGAGAGCATTCCAGAGAATTCCCAGAAAATAAATTGTTCTCTGTTCCAATCTAACCCACTGCAGCAGAGCACTTAAGAAGACAGTCTCAGAAATAATTTGCATGAAGCAACCCCTACAGAGCAAGGACTGGTGTTAATGCCCGGAAGAAAATTAGAGAATAATACAGTCTCCAAAGGCAAACCAGAACCAGACAGCTGCACCACCTTTTGCGTCTTGTAAATGAGGGGTCAATAATAAACACATAGATATATAGCTCCATTATTTGTACATATATTTGTGCCTCATTTAACTGGTTAGAAAACAATACATAGTTCATTCCATATTCCATTAATTCCATGAATTCAATTCTCTGCTATTCCTTTTTGTTGCCATTAGAAAGTCCCAGGCTAACAGAATTGTTTCGGGCATTTTTAAAGAGAGGTCCAGACTAGATGGATCTAAATGGCATTTGTGAAAAAAAGACTTTAGTTTAACGCAACCCAGATAAACAGTAATTGCTACCAAATTGCTACTAACATGATCTTTCCTATTTGATGACACAGGCTGTGTTAATACCTTTTATGTTCTGTCCTGCCTATTAGAACCAGCATCACTCTTGCTAAAGTGGAGGTTGAGAATCAATATCCAAAGATTACAGTATTATAATAAGGGTTACCATTCGCTGATATTTATTGAATGCTTGCTCTGTTAAGCATTTTGCAAACATATAATTTAATCATCACAACAACCCTTTGACCTCAGTCTTTTTATGATCACTATTTCACAGCTGAGAAAAGTGAGTTTTGGAGAAGGTGATTGCCCGGGGTCACTCGGCTGGTAAGAGGATAAATGAGAATTTGGATTCCAGCACACACATTTTTAATGTGACCTCCAAAAATGCTTTTGTGGTCTGAGTCATAAGTATGTGAGCATATGCTAAAGTCATTGTTGGGTGTACCTTCTTGTTGCTAAAGGCCTGCAATTTGAGGAACATTAATATTATTTGGAAAATGGTGCTTTAGACCTTGCCTTCTGTTTTTGAGAAACAGGATCTAATTGATAATTTTGCATTTTTACACCTTCGCGGCAAAAAGTCAAGACCAAAAATCAGGACAATTTAAGAACCGTTAACCTTTAGTGTCATATCTAGAATTACGTCCAATAAATGATAAGTGATACCCTTTATTTTGAAGTCACTGCAGTAGAACTAATAAATTTTATACATGGTGAAAGTATCTGAACTCTCTGAGGCTTTTATCGACTTGTAACTGGCTATAAATTTTTTATGAACAAGTTATAGAGTCTATTTTTAATGTCTGGAAGTTAACCTTGTTTATAACATTATTAGATTATGAGGAAATACTGCATAAGTAAGAGAAGCATGAGTAGACATTAGTTTCAGAAACAGGAAGCAAATGCAAAGATTTAGCCTCTTTTCTGAATGTACAAGAGATGATAAGATAAATAAATTACCACTTTGATCTTTTAAAGAAAATAAAAGTTAACAGATTTATAACCATTTGGGGAAGAAAACTGAAAACTTGAAGCTGGTTTTATTTTTTTTTTTAAGAATAATATCTTCTGCCAAATTTATGAATTTTTCCCATAGCCTTTAAATGATTAGAAGCCAAATGGTATTTTTGGATTAAATTTCAAAATTCTCATGGTAGTTATGAGACCAATTTTATGAAGAAAAAAATTTTCATCCAAATATCAGTCTAAGGAATCTTAGCACGCCAACACAAGCGATATTTTTGGAAAGCCGGTGCAGCCCAGACTGCCTTTCGTTGAGAAATAACAAGGTCTGGAAAGTCCTGGTTTCTATGTTACATGTCATAAAGCTCCCCAGAAACTCGGGCTTACAAGCAAAAGAGAGGATACTTTTTCTTCTCTGCTTTCATATGCCATCATAGCTTTGAGCTTTTACATATTTAGAAATAGGAATACTTTGACTTACCAGTTGCTTCTTTTTCCCTCCTGGGTGTTCGGAAAATATTTTCTGTTCCCTATTCTATTTGACTTTTAGTAGTAATCCCGATGGTGATGCTCTTTGACTTAAAAGTTCCTCTAACTACCTACTATGTTAATCTAAGGATGAATAAAGATCTTTTTATATTAACAAAGGTAGATTAAAAATAAGATTTGAGCTTCCAGATAAAGGATACCACCACCGTACACTTTGAAGTGCAGCTCCGAATGTCTCAGGGAGATGTTCTGAAGTAGAGAAGAGGTGGACGTGGGCGACAGACAGACCTGAGTGAGCCTGGGAACATCACTGAACTGCTTGTGGGCTCAGTTTCTGCATTTGTAAACTCGGGCGAATGCCTACCTCATGACATTCGTCTGCGCTGACTGACGAAACGTCACATGGAACGCCCCAGCAGGAAGTCTGATACATAGTAGCTAATTAGTTAACTTCAGTGACTTTAATTCCCTAATCTCTATTTAATGTACATTCTTGAATAGTAATAATAAAGAACCAATACGAGACAACAACATTTACTTACTGCCTAGTAAATTCAGGTGATTGAAGAGAATCAATCTCATATTTTGTGTGGAAGTCAATTTTAACTTTTTTTATTCTTGGTGAATTATACACAGTAATGACAATTAGAACACATGCACTTTAGAAATTCCTTTCAGATTTCATAATTTAACCTACACTGCAACTCAATGATGTAAGCACTGAATGTATTGCTATTGTCCTGTTTTAGAAATTAGAAAAATGTCACTTTCTGAACTGGAATGATGTGACGAGAGTGGAGCTGGAACATAAACTTGAGCCTCTGGGCTCTAAGTTTTGTGTGGTTTCGTGACATCGTGTTGTCTTCTCACAGAAATAAATCTTCTTCCTTTTTATGATATGTTAGTGGACAGTTGGCCACTATTAGAAAAATATGTGAAGCTGCTAAAAACTTTTTGAGGTAACCCAAGAACTGAGGGTGGTCTGTAAAGCTGGTAAGAACTGAGTATTTACTGCTGAGAGACTATTTTTCCAAAAAAAACCCTAAGATCTTTCATACAATTAATACACTTGTTATACTTTAGGATGAAGTGGACTTAGTTTCACTTAGGTTAACTTCATTTTCCATGGGCTCCTTTTTTGGCATTATTTATCATAATTTTACCTAAATGATCTAATAATTTCACTGTCCATTCTCTAGCATACTGCAAATTTAGAAAGTTAATGAATTAACATTAAATTTGGGTAATATATAATAATACACTTTAAAAAACCTAAAGCAACATGTTAAAATTATAAAATATTTTATATTCCATTTCATAGGCATTTTTGGAAGATGTTCACATGTCCGTATGGGAATTTGGATGTTCTTTCTCTTTTAAAGTAACTAATGTACCTAAAGTTCAACTTGATTATTCAAAAGAGCACTAAAAACATGTCAAATAAAAAGATTTATAAGGGAAAATAAGTTTGATAAGGAATGGAGATGCAGAATATGAAGATCTTATATATTGGGATAAAGGAATTTGGCTTTATTCCATAGGTCAATGTCAAAAACTACAAAGGGCTGGGATTTTATCTTACCTACAAGCTAAAAAGCTAAACTGCTACTGTGTCACGATGCTGAATCTAGGAGACATGAGTCTCCTAGGTCAGAGACAAAGGACTTTATAATTCACAGCAAAAGCAGTGGCTAAGTGTACCAGTTCCCCACACCTGCCTCCCAATCCCATGGGAGTGATGCAAGGGACAATGGTTGATGCCTACACATGCAGTGGGGTTATATTAAAGAAGAACACTGAACTTGGGGATTCACAGCTTTTACAATAAGCAGAAACAAGTCTATTTTTCGTCTGAGAGGAGGTGTTATCTAATCCCTATTGCTCCCTGCAAGCACCACCCTCAGAAATGGCTCAGATGAAGTGCAATCAGGGCCTTTCATTCTTGTCACACCCCAAAGAATGTGCAGGGATTCTCAGGGTGACAGTAGATTGCCTTTCCCAACAGCAAGCAGCACTCCACATTTTTCAATGCTAAGAAATGCGCTCCTCTAAAGGATAAGAAATATTGCCATCAGTGGCAATGCCTTCTATGCTGGAAATCAGCAGGTGGGAATTAGAGAGGAGAGTAAGTTTAAGTATGAGAAGATATTGGGGGACTATAGATTGAACATAACTGGGCTCCATATATTCCAGGATACAAACAGGCATTCTGAAGATGACTTAGAATCCAACAACGAAATTTACCTCTTGTTAACTTAAAATTAGCCAGGATTATTCACTTTCCAGTTCACTCAGTCAAACACACACACACACACACTCACCATCAACATTTAGCACACTATAGTAAATAGTGGAGTCCGCTAGACACTTTAATTCAGGGCGTAAAAATCTTCGTCAAAAATATAAAAATCTCAACATCCCTGGGTCCGAATAATATCCAAAATGTGTAATGTTGTCTAGTCATCATCAAACGGATGTGATGAATGAATAATGCAAACCCTTCACTTAAGCCCATAGTTTCAACCTCTTCCCATTCTAATCCATATTTTAAAACTAATTAAGAGAAAAAAGGATAAGTTTGATTTTATCCTCTTAGTTCTCTATCCCAAATTGTAATCAGTTACGCATGAGTAAAAGGCATACAGCAGAGAAGAAAAGAAGCCAGAGCCTGGAGAACTAGTTGATGATAAATGAGAAGTAAAACATCATTCTTGGTCAACATTCCAGCTAAGGGTGGCCAAAGTCACTTCACAGACAAAGTGGAATTCCATTGTTATTTTTGACCTATCTACTTTGCCAGCAAAGTTAGCTCTATATGCAAACGTCTGAGGCTTCAAAAGTTATTAAAGGCGAGAAAATGGATTTTCATAAGTCTCAGTGACACTTTAATAAATTCAACGAGGACAAAAAATAACTTTGGGCTGCTGTAATACATCTGTGGGTAACGAGTGGTTCTTCTTTGTCTGATCCCAAGCCAGCTGCCATGCTCTCACCTGATTGCAGGTATTGATGTCTATGCCCCCCTTGAGATATTCCACGACTTTGTCCAGGTTGCCTGCTCTGGCAGCACGGAGGAAGCTTGCATTGCTGTCAGACTGGGAGAAAAAGAAAAGACTTTTAGTCAATTATTGATAAAACAAAGACACGTCGAAGACGAAAAGACAAGAATGATTATACTGCAAGGCAGAAAATATTAGCTCCTAAAAATTTCAATACTGAGTTTAAACATTGAATAATGGTTCATAGTATAAGGTAGCAACTTCACAATATTTCTAGAGAGTTATTTAAGGATATTAAAGTGAATAGGAAATACACTCTATTAAAGAATGCAAATGAACCATTAAAATGAAAATAATTGCTACTGACTTATTCTAAATCTTCAGCCACAGTGGAAGACGAATTTACACTATCCCCATATCCACTATGACCCTTTCGTTTTAGCTACAGGATGCTAGTGACTTTATACTGAGCCTAATGTCGAGCCTAACAGGAATCAGAAGACTAAAAGAAATGGGAGACGCTGGGTTTCTTCTTTCTCTCCTTCACTGTTTGGTTTTCAGATGAGTCTCAGGGAGAAGGCTGAGTAGGGGTCACTCAGCAGTCATCTGTCCTCATTAGAGGGGAATAACAGAAGGCTCCGAGGATGCTTTGAGGAAAGAGGATAGCACTACTTGGCAGGTGTGGACTGGGCTGATGCAAATTTTGTGATCCCAGTGATTTTGGAAAAACAAGATTAAATTTAAACAAGCTGACATAATACCAGACTAAAATGTCTTGGTAAAGATGATCACTCTTGATGTACACTGCTTTGTAAGTCCTTATCTCTCACCTACTCCTTTCAAAATCTGATCCGGGAAGAATTGGCTGAATTTTCCCCATGGAAGGTCCTGAGGAGAGCTGCTCGAGAGGCCCAGCGGCAGGCACCCTGCCCCTCCAGCTTGCTGCAAGAGCCTGACTTTCAAAGCTTAACACAATAGTGATGATAAACGTTTGTCAGGTTCTAAGACACTTGCATACTTTATAATTCTTCCTGTGATAGAATATCTGTTTAGAGAGAAAGCAGTAGCACGCAAGGGACGTCACTGCCCTACTAGGATGTGAGACAAGGTGTGAGGGCTCTGAACCCAACATTCTCCTCAGCAGGCCACACTGCCTCCCTCCCTCTGAGAACGCACTCAGCAGGGGCTCCTGGCACACTCTGTCAGAACTATTTATCACCACCGGTCACGATGCACAAAGATAGAAATGGAAGGACTTTCTCTGAGAGTCTCAAATATGGAATTACTTGATACTGTTAAAATGATTTACACATGGGAAGACTGAAAACCCTAGGACTAAATTAGCTCACATTTAACCGAAATACCACAATGGGTTACACGTTTACAAGTCAAAGAGATAACTGATGAAAAATTGAAGGGGATGCCTGAAATCTATACATCTGGAACTCATGCTGATTCCTTAGAAATGACTCATGGTGTGATTAATATCCCTCCCTCCCTGCACCACTCTGATGCCTCACTGTCGTCCTTCCTGAAAGCTGTGCCCGTGGCAGGTGCCCCGAGGGTATCTGCAATGCTGCAGGGACCCAATTGTGACTCATCTTTAAATGCCTAGTCTATGGAATTACTTTGCAGTTTGGGGCAAATTCTAAATTTCAGGGAGATTTTCCACCTTCAGTTTCTTGCTACAGCACTTAAAGGGGAAACATAATACTACTCACTATGTTATGTCAATATCTCACAGGAAATGTTATTTACCATAAGACAACAAAAATTAAATATTAGGTCACAGAAAGTTTGACAATATTATTTCCCATATATAGTTTTAAAAAATAAATCTATGTGCTATATCTTAACATTTGCGCCTAGAAAGTACTTCCAACTTGTATGTGAGGCATATTAATTATACGTGATATTTATTGAGTGTTTACTGCAAGCCAGGCACAGAGCTAAGTATGATATGTATAATATCATTAATGCTCACAGTAATACCATGAAGAAGGAACGATTATTATGCTCCTGTAATAGGTGAGGAAACAAGTTTAGAAAGTTTCCAAGGTCACAAAACCATTCGGTGGAAAATCCACGATTTAACTCATGTTTATCAGCTTTGGAGCTAGTCTTATCTGCTCTTCTGCCTCACCCCTCCAAAGTGACAAGGCAGATGTTACTACAGATTCCTAACCTATGAGCTATAATCTATTTTGTTTCTGATAGCCATGGTTATCTGATGCCCTTGGTCTACATATTCACTCTGTAAATCATGGCACTTGCTAAATAGAGTGCTTCAGCTGGAGAGAGAATTCTCAGCTGACATCCTAGTCCTCACATTTATCACCCATGTATATACACCTAGAAAAATTAGGAGCTGGCCTGAGATAAACTACTTAGAAACATATTCATTTGGGAATGAGGAAAGAGGTGGTAAAGTACACTCTCGTGAAAAACCCAGTTGTCTGTCTCTCTGTACATGCCTAATATGATTAACCGTAGGACCTAAGATCAGGTTGCTGTATCTTTCTTGTAAAAAAAGAATGCCAAGAACAGGTAGAACAGAAGGAAGTATCTGACCCCAAAGGGATTAAGAGACACCCGGAGACACCACTGTGGAAGTTAAAGGGGGAGATGTTGGTCTGAAGGGAGCTGCAGACGTCACTGAGGAGCACCCAACAGATCCTCTCAGAGCCTTCTCTAGGGACTGGACGTGACATTAAGGACTGTTTTTGCTGTTACATAATAACATGTTTTCATCACTGGTTTTCTCTTTTCTGAATCAAACTTCTGAAGAGTAGATGCAAGTCAGAGACTTACAGCCAGTCCCTGAAATTTTAGCAAAAAATGTTCCCACTGTTCTTGAGGGGCTGGACCCAATGGAACTGTAACATCTGAGCCATCCTGCCAGGGAGCTCTTCAACAGCTGAGTCACAGGAGATTTCATAGTAGATTTGCTATAAGTTGGATTCTTCTGGAAGCATGGTAAGAGATTTAGTTTTCCCAAAGTGAGAAAATGCATTCAATGAAAGTGTGATTATAAATGGTTCATGAACATGGATTTCAAGAACAAAACTAAAATGAGACTTCAAAATTTAAGTACAGATATTGACATTATTGAAGGTCAAAAGTATAGATGTGCACAGAAATATATATTCTTCTCTCCCTGCCCCATAGACGCATGTACACACTATGCTACAACGAGGTCAATCTGGGATTAAAGCTCTTGACACAAGAGCTTAGGGTAAACAGTAGTCGATCTGGTTATCTTCGATCAACACAGAGAAGAAAGAGGATTGAGAAACTCATGGTGAGAGATGCAGCAATTTTGACCATGCTGTTTCCTTCTGAGCGTGAGAAAAGTCAGAATTTTAAAGTGAAGTATAAAAAAGGGGAAAAGCATGCTTTCAAAATAGACTCTTGTCTCCTGGCTCAACCAGGAGATTTCACACATAAAAAGCACAATAAAGAGAAAATGAGGCAAGAGCAAGTCCTCTGGAGAAAGTGTCAGATGAATATAAGACCGCCCTCTTCCTGCTCTGCCGTTCTGTGTCCCTAGGACTCTCACTCCTAAAACCAATTGTACTGATGCCTGCAAAGTCGGACCCTGAACGAGGAATTCAAACACTGAGCCCCATGTATTTTAATCTGCAACAGATGGATGACATTAAAACTTGCCCCCTTTACAACCCTAGTGTGGCATCTCAAGCCAAGAAAGAAAAATTTCCTCTTAAATTCTTCTTGACACTGGTCTGTACATTTTTTTGTATCTGAATGTTAGAAAAACAGAATACTTTCTTAGCACCCAGCAGGGTGGACATGAAAGGCACAGAGGAATGTGCATTCACAGAGCTACATTATATCCCAAAGGAATGCTTCCCCAAAGGGTCTAGGGATCCACAGGGCTCCATTTTAAAAAAATTCTGTGCGTTCATTTCAATAATAACCTAATAAGGAAAATATAAGCATGTTCCAGGTCATCTAGATGGCTACCATTTAACTGAGTACAACCATGCAATTCTGGTATATGACTTTGTGTTTATAATTCAGTGCATAACAAGCGAAGTATAGATGACATATAGATGCATGATATGTACAAAGTTTTACCATGGTACAGAGAGTGATCAGAGAATCTGGTCATCATATGTGGCAGGATGGTAGAGACATGACGAGCCAAAAGAACCTGAGCACAGGGGGCTGACCCATGACCGAGTGGTTAAGCTCATGCTTTCTGCTTCCGTGGCCCGGGGTTCACTGGTTTGTATCCTGGGCGTGGAACTACAAATTGCTCATCAAGCCATGCCGTGGCAGCATCCCATGTAGAAGAACTAAAATGATTTACAACTAGGATATATACAACGTTGCCTGGGGCTTTGGGGAGGAAAACAAAAAGAGGAAGATTGGCAACAGATGTTAGCTCAGGGCCAATCTTCCTCACCAAATTTGAAAAAAAAACACAAAAGAACACAGTGCACAGTAATCAGCAGCAGCACATTAAAGCTGCAAATAAACATGAGGCTCTGTGTTATCTTTGTATGGTCCAACTTGCACCGACCATTAGCAGTGAGTGTACTAGAAAATCCACAGGGAAACATTTTTCAGCTCCCATTTTAGCTTTTAAAGGATTAGGTATACATCTCTACCACAACACTAATTTCACCTCCAAGTAAATAAACAGAGCTTTAAGCGATTATCAAATGGCATGCCATTAAAATTGACATTAGCAAATTTCTCTGGTAGCTTTCAGTCTTATAATTCTGAAGTAGGAAACAAAATCTTAAACATATTATAATGGTTTGTACAACATGCTAACAAAAAAAGGTTTTCTTTATATGGTTTCCCTTGAAGTCAAATTCAGAAGCATATTAAATTACAGAAATCGGAGATTAAATCTTTTTACTGTTAAACCCATTATCTATGATTTAGTTTTAGACAATTCTATCCATACTATTAGGTTGGTGTCATTTATTTGGATAATACTAATTTTGTAGTTTCATTTATGCTTAATTTGTAAAACTTTCTTTTTAGTAGTGGTCTAAGATTTTAAGCAGTTTTGTGTAGTTTTATCTTTACATTTAATTAACACTATAACAAAAATAACAACA